GAGTTGGAGTCTCACTCCATCGCCCAGGCTGGATGGAGTACAGTGGCATACTCATGGCCACCCCAGCATCCACCTGCTGGGCTCTGATGATCCTTCCATCTCTGTCTTCCAAGGAGCCAGAACTACAGGTGTGTGCTACCATGCCTGGTTAATTTTTTTTTTTTTTTTTGTAGAGATGAGGGCTTGCCAAGTTGCTGGGGCTGGTCTCAAACCCGCAGGCTCAGGCAATCCACTCGCCTCGGCCTCCCAAAGTGCTGCAATTACAGACTGAGCCACTGAGCCCAGCCATTTTTAAAAATTAGAGTCAGGGTCTCGCTCTGTTGCCGCGGCGGGAGTACAGTGACACAATCATAACTCACTGCAGCTTGAACTCCTGAGTTCCAGCGATCCTTCTGCCTCAGCCTCCTGAGTAGCTGGAACGACAGGTACGTGCTGCCATACCAGGCTAAAAACGTAGGGATTCTTTAATTATCCAAAAGTTCCACAACAAAGACACAGGGCAGACATGATGAGGCCCTGTCCTTGGATTCCCAAGTAGGTGCTGGCGGGTCCAAGTGCTCTCTTGTGAGTCTGTCCCATGGCAGGAAGGATCGGGTGTTATCACCCTCTGCCCCTCCCCTCCAGCATCTTCAGCACCCAGGAGAGACAAGTAGCTGAGACCCAGCAGATACTCCAGAAACGCTTGCTGGTTGTGGGAATGGATGGGTGCCGTGCAGGGCTGGGGGTGCCAGAGGCTGTGTGTTCCCCAATGTCTGCAGCCGAGGAAGGGAAGCACAGCTCTGGAGGTCGGCTCTTTTCTTCTAAAAGCAACAAGGGGCCGGGCGTGGTGACTCAGGCCTGTCATCCCAGCACTCTGGGAGGCCGAGGTGAGAGGATTGCCTGAGCCCGCAGGTTCGAGACCAGCCTGGGCAACATGGCGAGACCTCGTCTCTACAATAAATCAAAAAATAACCGAGCGTGGTAGCACGCGTCTGTAGTTCCGGCTACTTGGAAGGCTGAGGGGGAAGGATTGCCGGATCCCAGCAGGTCGACGCTGGGTGGCCGTGAGCATGCCGCTGCACTCCAGCCTGCATGATGGATTGAGACTCTGACTTAAAAATAAAAAAAAAGAAAGAAAGAAAAGAAACCAGGACTGGAAGTTTCTCCCTTTCTTTCCTTCTCTAATAAACTTGGTTTTAAAACTTAAAGAAAAGAAAAAGAAAAAAGAGACCAGGACTAAAGTTGGTGGTGTGGGGTGAGATGCCTGTCCGGCATGGGATAAAGACAGTGGTCTTGAAGGCAGGACTCAAATCTGGGCTCTACTATGCATTGGCTGTGACACTGTGGAAAAGGTGTTTAACTGCCCTGTGCCTCAGTCTCCCCACTTTTAAAGTACAGATAATAAAACCATCCTCACAGTGTTGCTTTAAGAATTAAGTTAAACAGGCTGGGTGCACTGGCTCATGCCTGTCATCCCCGCACTTGGGGAGGTCAAGGCAGGTGGATCGCTTGAGCCTGGGCAACATAGCAAAACCTCATTTCTACAAAAAACTTTTTAAAAAAAATACACCGGCCGTGGTGACACACACCTGCAGTCCCAGCTTCTCGGGAGGCTGAGATAGAAGGACCATCTGAGCCAAGAGGTCAAGGTTGAATTAACCCATGATCATGTCGCTGCAGTCCAGGCTGGGTGACAGAGTGAGACCCCAACTCAAGAAAAAATAAAATAAAACGCAGTGAAATAACGAACAGGGCTGATGGGGCAATTGCCTTCCCTCTTCACATCCATGGGAGGCCTGGCTCATTCGGGAAGAGCTTCCACCAACGCCGCCAGTCCGCCCAGCGAGGTGCTGGAGGGAGCCTCTACCGTGCATTCCTCCCCCCTCCCCCACCCCAGAAGCAACCGATCTAACTGGCGAATGCCTGGCAACTGCAGGACCACACCCTGCAGGTACTGGGGTCAGTGTCCCAGGCCTCCTGCCCGCCTGTGGCCCTCCTCCAAGACCTGCTTTTCCATGAGTTCATGGGTGGGGAAGTCAGACCCACCTCCCTGCGGTCCCGGGGTCCTGCCATCTTCTTTTCGGGCCAAAAGGTGACAATACTCACTCCAGCCCATTCCAGAAAGGCCTCCGCCATCCACACAGCTGATATGTTGGTGGACATTTGTTTTCTTCCTTCCTTCCTTTTGAGACAGAGTCTCTCTCTGTCGCCCAGGCTGCAGTAAGGTGGCACCATCATAGCTCACTGCAGCCTCGAATTCCTGGACTCAAGCGATCCTCCTACCTCGGCCTCCCAAAGTGCTAGGATTACGGGCATGAGCCACCACACCCAGCCCATCTTTTTTAAATCGATTAATTAAACCCGGAGAGAAGGAGAGCTATGTCTCTGGAAGAATTTCAGCATGCTCAGATGAGATAGCAAGCGAAGGTGACCCGTTAACACGCCTCTTAGAGGCCGGTGAGCCCTGGATGGGTCTAATGCTTGGACACCAGCTATTCTCAAGGCGGCGACCCTGCCCCCTCGGGGATGCTTTGGGAGCTCACAAGGGTGTTTTGGGTTGTCACCCAGCTGGAGGGACACCAGCAGGAGTAGCTGGCACTTAGCAGGGGAAGGTAGGATGCAGAAGGACAGTCCTGCGCACTGAAGTATCCCATGTCCTTCGCGACACTCAATATCCCATGAGACACATGTAGGCTCTTAAAACTTGCTTATATAGCTTGGTCCAGTGGCTCAGCCTGTAATCCCGCACTTTGGGAGGCCAAGGTGAGTGGATTGCCTGAGCCCGCGGGTTCGAGACCTGCCTGGGCAACTTGGCAAGACCTCATCTCTACAATAAATCAAAAACTAGCCGGGTGTGGTAGCGCGCGCCTGTAGTTCCAGCTACTTGGAAGGCTGAGGCAGAAGGATCGCCAGAGCCCAGCGGGTCGAGGCTGCGGTGGCCAGGAGCGGCCACTGCACTCCAGTCTGGGCGACAGAGTGAGACTCCAACTCAAAAAAAAAAAAACCAAAAAACTTGCTTATGACACACGTTTATGCATATGTGTATATTTGCACATCTCTGTGGTACATTACATGTATGCGTGTATTTTTTAATTTAATGCCAGCAGATACAAGAAAAAATATGGAAGAATATAGCTGCCAAATTATGACTAATGCCACATTGATTGGGAGTCACATGGACTTTTATCAACTTGGTTATTAATTCCTGTTTTAAGTTTTTATACACGTTTATTATTTTTGCAGTTGGAAAAAACCAAGAAAGCCAAAAATGGCAAAATGTGTAAAACAATTTACAACAAAAATCATGTCCTGGGGTATATTTTGAAAACAAGTTTACTATATATTAATCCAATAAAATTAGGTTACCTCTCCCCCCCAAGAAAATTTTTCTGCTTATGATTTTCTGAGTCTAAGCTTAAACTACTTCATATATAAACACGTCTTGTTGTAGGAACTGAATTTTTCAGGAATTCAGTTACTATGAAAATGGAGATGGGCCCGGCGTGGTGGCTCAAGCCTGTAATCCCAGCACTTTGGGAGATTGACATGAAGGGACTGCCTGAGCCCACAGGATAGAGAACAGCCTGGGCAACTTGGCGAGACCTCGTCTCTACAATCAATCAAAAAATTAGCCAGGCGCGGTAGTGCACACCTGTAGTTCCAGCTACTTGGAAGGCTGAGGCAGAAGGATCGCCGGAGCCCGGCAGGTCACTGCTGGGGTGGCCAGGAGCGTGCCACTGCACTCCAGCCTGGGCGACGGAGTGAGACTCCTACTCAAAAAAAGGAAAAAGAAAATGGAGTTGAAACTGTGAAGAGCTGTTCACCATTTAGGAAGATCCAGGCACCGGTGCTAACATTGCTCAGCAGATAGGAGTCAACGAGACTATAGATGAATGTTGGTCAACGTTCAGGGTCACGGTGATTCTGAGCGTAAGTGTCTGCGTCCGTCTTTTTTATCATGTCTCGTGGGCAGGCAGTCTGGGCATGCCCTCTCCTTGTGTTTCTTTTATATTTCAGTATATATATATATCAGTATATATATATATATATATATCAAATATATATCAGTATATTTGATTTCTGAGACGTTTATGCATAGCTAGGTAACACTGTATATCAATCTCATATCAGGGTAAGAATGGGGTGTTTCAAAATATTTCTTTTTTTTTTTTTCTGAGTTGGAGTCTCACTCCATCGCCCAGGCTGGAGTGCAGTGGCACGCCTGTGGCCACCCCAGTGTCAACTGGCTGGGCTCCGGCGATCCTTCCACCTCAGCTTTCCAAGTAGCCGGAATTACAGGCGCTCGCTACCATGCCTGGCTAATTTTTGATTTATTGTAGAGATGAGGTCTCCCCAAGTTGGCCAGGCTGGTTTCGAACCCATGGGCTCAGGCAATCCGCTTGTCTCAGTCTCCAAGGCGCTGGGATTACAGGTTGAGCCACCAAGCCTGGCCTGAAAATATTTCTTATAAAAAGACCCCATTGGAGGCTGGGTGCGGTGGCTCACGCCTGTAATCCCAGCACTTTGGGAGGCTGAGGCAGGAGGATTGCTTGAGCCCAGGAGTTGGAGCTTGGGCAACATAGGAAAACCTCGCCTCTCCAAAAATTTTTTAAAATAATTAGCCAGGCATGGTGGTGCATGCCTGTAGTCACAGCTATTTGGGAGGCTGGGCGGAAGGACCGAGGCCTTGGTGAGCGGTGAGTGGTGATCATGCCACTGCACTCCAGCCTGAGCAACAGAGTGAGACTCTGACTTGAAAAAAAAAAAAAAAGGCGGGGGTGCCACTGGGCCTGGCAAGGCTGAGAGCCACTGACTTGGCTTCTGGGACACAAGTGACGCCTTCTCTGGGGTTACTTTCCCCCTGCCCACCACAGAACGTGACCCCAGGGCTAGCTTTGCTGAAACAGGATCTCTGTCACTCGGGCCGGCCGAGGGTCAGCAGGGACTTCCCCACCAGCCAGAGGGAGGAAGAGCTGTTTCTCGGCAGGAAAGTGGAAGCAGAAACGGGCCGGGCTACTCACAGAGGTCTTCAGTGGTTGCAGGGGCGAAGGCTGCCATGGACTCGTACAGGTCCTCGTCGCAGCCGGGGTGCAGGGAGCACTTCATGAGCAGGTCGGTGGAGAGGTGAGCCATGGACTCGTACACGGAGTCCTCCTCCTCCTCCTCCCCTCGCATCAGCTCTTCCTTAATGTGACTCTTGAGCAGGTCCACGGTTTCCTGAGAGAAACGACACCATGGGCACTGAAGGGCCTGGTTTTCTGGGTGGAGCTCAGCCCCCAGGGGCTTGCGGCGGGGAAAGAAAGCTTCCCATGTGCCCACTGCAAGTGTTTGCATGCCTCTGTGTTTTCCCAACCGAATGGATGCTCTTGGAGGCCAGGCCTCACACGGTTCACTGTTTCTCAGTTTTTAAAGAAATGTCTTTATTTCTTTTTATAGAGATCTCACTATGTTGCCCAGGTTGGGTACTCACTGTGTTGCTCGAATTTCTCCTGGCTCAACCAATCCTCCCGCTTTGGCCTCCCAAAGTGCTGGGATTACAAGAGTGAGCCACCGTGCCTGGCTCACTTTTTGTTTCTTTGGGTTTTTGTTATTGTTTTTGTTTGAGTGGGAGTCTCACTCTGTTCCCCAGGCTGGAGTGCAGTGCCATGTTCACAAGCACTGCAGCCTCGACCTGCTGGACTCAGGTGATCCTTCCACCTCAGCCTTCCAAGTAACTAGAACTATAGGCGCACACCACCATGCCTGGCTAATTTTTTGATTTACTGTACAGACGAGGTCTTGCCAAGTTGCCCGGGCTGGTCTCGAATCTGTGGACTCAGGCAATCCTCTCACCTCCGTCTCCCAAAGTGCTGGGATTACAGCCGTGAGCCACCACGCCTGACTATGTTTTTTGAGAGAGAGTTTCACTCTGTCACCCAGGCTGGAATATGCTCACCATTGCCTTAACTTCCTGAGCTCAAGTGATCCTCCTGCCTTAGCCTTCCAAGTAGCTCAGACGACAGGCGTGTGCCACTACGCTTGGCTAATTTTTCTATTTTGGGAAGAAACGAGGGCTTACTCTGTGGCCCAGGTTAGGCTCCAATTCCTGGGCTCAAGCAATCCTCCCAGAGAGTTAGGATTACAGGTGTGAGCCACCACGCCTGGCCTGTTTCTTTGTTTTAATCTTTGTATCTTCTCCTAACACTAAGCACAGAGCCATGCATTCAAAAGATACTTGTTAAACGTCTAGTGACCAGAGGATACAAATTGAAGGTTACTTTCCCATGAGCACCTGTCATGAGTCAGGTGTTTGCTAGGTATTTGCCTAGACCCTATCTTGTGCATTCTTTGCACTGCTGTTGAGAAAAGTATCATATTCCCCAGTTTACAGATGAGCACAAAGCTCAGAAAATTCTAGTGCCGTGCTCAAGGGCTTGCAACCCTGACTTGGTCTTTCTGCTACACCCTCGTGGTTCCTCAAAAGGACACAAAGGACACAAGGGGGCGTGACCCTTACTGACTAGCCTCATGGAGACATAAGTGGGCTGGACAGGGCTACGTCTAAGGTGTTTCTGCGCCGTGCGCAGTCAGGGTCCCCCAGAAACTCCAGACCTAGTCCCCATCCGTTCCGCAGGTTTCTCCCAAGTGCCTGGCAGCTTCCAGGGTGTCCTCTGTCCCACGTGCCCAGGAGGAGAGATGGTCTTGGATGAAGCACCCTGATGTCAGGAAGGTGGCCCCTACCATGTCACCTCCGGGTGCCTGTGAAGCCAGGGAGCTGCCTTCTCTGAAACGTCCGCTCAGCTTTTCCTGGTAAGAAACTTTGGTGTTGCACAATCCCTGTTTCAGCATCAACCTGCGAAAGCCCTGGCTTTCGTCATCATCCCGAGAGAGCTAACCTTTCAGTGACACTCTTAAGTTCCCTGAGTAGACCCAAGAGGACCAGGTGACAGCGGTGAAGCGTGGGACACCCCAGGTCCAGGCTTTGGTTTTGATATGTGGAACAGGAGCTTTTCTTAGAGGCCATGGGTAACACGTAGGGCCAGACTTTGGGAGACAAAGCTGAAGGCGCACTGGTGGAAAGTGCCATGGCCAGGGAGCAGAGATGGCGTGAGCTGGGCACAAGCTGGAAGTGCCTTGAAGCATCCCTGCTGGATGCAGCAGGTAAAAGCCAGGACTTTAGCATCAGACCCTGCCTCTGCCCTTACTCCTAGCCACAAGGGCTTTGCCTTTCCAGGGTAAAGGGAGGCTCACAGGACCATCAGCTTAAAAGGACTGTGATAAGGATTAAATGGGATAATGCACGTTCACATCAAATAAATTCAGTAAATATTAGCTTCTACGGTGAACATAGTACATTCTGAACAAAAGATATTGGCACGAAAGGGAAACGCAACGTGTTGCACATGTATGACTTCCATGAAAAGCCAAGGACTCCAAGACTTCGAGCACCTTTTAGCCTCATCTGTGTCGGCAGAGCTCAACACAAGGCCTCCTGCAGTCCTGTTCACAGCACCTATGCAGGCCACACCCTGGGAGGTCCCCTCTGTGTGCCTCAGTGAGTCACTGCCTCGTGGTCTCCGGTTGAGCAGAGGGTTGCGTTAGGGGGTATCGGGCTCCCCCCTGCCTGGAAGTCAAGAGAGAGACTGGGCCGTGTGTATTGCTCCTTTTGGGACCACGGTCCCACAGGGGAGGCCGAGCTATCCCCAGGTGCCCTCTGGGAGTCTGTGGAGGAAGAGGAAGGCCCAGGAGTGGAGGAAGGAAGAACAGCTGCCTCCTGATGTCTGAGGCAGTCCTGGGCATGGGTGCGACGGGACTCAGAGAAGGACCCAGAAGTCAGTGGTCAAGGAGGGCCCAAAACCAGATAAGCAGATTAACTGGGCGTGTCTGACTGTCTTAAGGTGGGATCCAGGTGAGCACCCACCTTCTTGGGTGCAGACCTCCACTGTGGCCTCTGCTGAGGGATGGGCGGGGTGGCCGGAGCATCCCAAGGTGCCCGGGACCATGCGGGTGGGGTGGGGGAGGGTCCAGCACCCACTTCAGCAGATTCACCCTGTCAGGGTCTCTGTGAAATTCTGAGGCTGGACTTCAGCACTTCAGTTTTTGTTTCGTTTTGAGTTGGAGTCTCACTCTGTCCCCCAGGCTGGAGTGCAGTGGCACGCTCGTGGCCATCGCAGCCTCAACCTGCTGGGTTCAGGCGATCCTTCCACCTCAGTCTTCCAAGGAGCCGGAACTAGCGACTACCAACAAGTATGCAACACCATGCCTGCCTCCTTTTTTTAAAAATTTATTGTAGAGACGAGGCCTCACCAAGTTGCCCAGACCGGTCTTGAACCCGTGGGTTCAGGCAATCCTCTCACCTCAGCCTCCCAAAGTGCTGGGATTATAGGCGTGAGCCACCGCACCTGGCCTTATTATGTCCTTTTATCCTCAAACAATTCTACGTGCAGAACCATCCTGATCTTCCTTCGTGTACTAGGAAACCTGAGAGCAGATGCATGACCGGCCCAATGTCACACAGCTAACGAGGGTGGGACCCAGGCCATGTGACTCCGGGCCCACGTACACTGCCACAAGAGGTCCCCTCGGACCCGCCCAGACGAGCCCCGCCACGTCCTTGCCACAGACTCCCAGAGCCCGTTTCCCGACCCCTGGGAAAGGTCCCCCGCATGGCCTTACCACATACTCGTCGATGAACTGACGGAGGTCCCTGAAGCCGTGCTTCTCGGCCATGGTGTTGGGGTAGTGGCCGTGCTTGTTGGCCACGCTGTAGGCCTGGAGGGCTCCCGGGCAGGTGAGCAGCAGGGCCGTGAGGTTCTTCAGGCCATACTTGGCAGCAAAATGCAGCAGGGTGGGCAGCTCCTCGTCCCTCTGGTCTGAAAAGTAATTGACAGATAGGCATGAAGGCACAGGACGCCCTTGTCCACGGAAATAAGCCACCAAGCTGAGGGCAGCATCTATGGACACTCAGTCATGGCTTCCGGGTTGACTGACGGAACATCTGACAGCTTCCTTCGGGCCAACACTGAAGGCCATGTCCTCCCACGGCAGAGGAAAGGGTATTTTCATTAATTAGCAAATCCAACTGTGAAGACCCTACTTTCTCTCTCCAAAACATTTGGGAAATCCTGAGAAAAAGTACTTATTCAAAATGTGCTGAGTTTTCCCAGGTTCAACTTGCAGCCACAAAGTACAACAGGAATTGTACCTTGAGCTTCTCTGCCAAGTCCAGGGAGCTTGAAAAACGATTGTTTGGTGCTGATTCAAAGAAAGAAGTTCAGCAGGGCATGGTGGCTCACGCCTGGAATCCCACGCTTTGAGAGGCTGGGTGGGAGGATTGCTTGAGTCCAGGAGTTCGAGAACAGCCTGGGCAACACAGCGAGACCTCCTCTCTACCAAAAAAATACAAAAATTAGCCGGGTATGGTGGCGTGCGTTTGACGTTCCAGCTGCTTGGGAAGCTGAGGCGGAAGGATCGCCTGAGCCCAGGAGGTTGAGTCTGCGGTGAGCCATGATTGTGCCGCTGCCCTCCAGCCTGGGCAACAGAGGGAGACAGGAAGGAAGGAAGGAAGGAGGAAGGGAGGAAGGAAAAAAGTTCACCTTCTTGAAGCTTATTCTCAATTTTATAATAAGTACGGCAAGAAATTCTGGGTATATGACTTAGCTTTTCTGCAACCTTTAGCTTTGAGTTAGAAAACCCTTCCAGACTATTCTAGAGGAAGTCTTTCAGAAGACCTTCTAGAGGAAGTACTACCTCAGCCCCTGCAGGGAAGTGAAGTCAGCCAGGCGAATGGCAACCACAGCAGCGAGGAGGAAACTCTTCCCATGAGTCTCAGCGGCAAGACACAGGAGAAGGGAGTTGACACCTTCCGCAGAGCAGAGCCCAGAAGCCAAGAGGGAAGTTGGAGCGAGATGGGGGCTTGAGAACAGGCTGGGGCGTTTGGCCTTTATCGAGAAGGCCAGGGGGAACCACATGTGTGCTGAGAAAGGGGTGAAGGATTCAGATCTGCAATGCAGAAGCGTCTCTGGCTGCCCGGCAAAGAATGACAGCTTCTCGAAGGACGGGCGGCAGGGCGGGCCCCAGGGGAAGGTCCATGCACGTGTCGCTGGTTCCGAGCTTCGGCTGCGGACTTACTTGTCATCATGTCTTCCTCTTCCAGCTGGTTGATGCCAAAGAGGTGAAGTCCGCTCGCGGGGATGTTATTCTTCAAGGACTCGGTGAGCAGCTTGTCAAGGGTCTCTGTGTTGTAGGGCACGATCTTAAAGGCCTGAAGACAAATGCGAAGACAGTCAAATTTTTTTTATTTTTTTGAGCTGGGGTCTCCCTCTGCTGCCCAGGCTGGAGTGCAGTGGCACGGACACGGCTCACCACTCACTACAGCACTGACGTCCTAGGCTCAGGGGATCCTTCTGCCTAGCCTCCTAAGTAGCTGGGACTATAGGTATGTGCCACCACATCCAGCTAATTTTTTTTTTTTTTGGTAGAGACATGTCTATGTTGCCCAGGTTGATATCGAACTCCTTGGCTCAAGAAGTCCCCTTGCTGGCCAGGTGTGATGGCTTACACCTATAATCCCAGCACTTTGGGAGGCCGAGGTGAGAGGATTGCCTGAACTCACGGGTTTGAGACTAGCCTGGGCAACTTGGTGAGACCTCATCTCTACAAGAAGTCAAAAAAATTAGCCGGGCGCGGCAGCACATGCCTGTAGTTCTAGCTACTTGGAAGGCTGAGGCTGAAGGATCCCCAAAGCCCAGCAGGTCGAGGCTGTAGTGGCCCTGAGCGTGCCACTGCGCTCCAGCCTGGGCAATAGGGTGAGAATTCCAACTCAAAAGAAACCCCCTTGCCTCAGCTTCCCAAAATGCTGTGATTACAGGCGTGAGCCACCGCACCCGGCCAGTGGTCAGATTTTAAACCCAGCTCTCCCCACCCAGCAGATTCCAGGCTGCTAAACCAAGAGCAGAAGTGGCACACCCAGAAAGCTCAGCCCTCCTTCCCACCTCCCCCCTCACCTGGCACATGAATTCCACAGGATTCGCGGCGTTTGACAGTAAATTCCCAATTTCTTCCATGTCAGTATAATAGCTGATGATGGATTCACACACCACCAAGTCCCCGGAATATATCTTCAGAGAAACATTCCCAGACGAAAGGTCTGAACAGAAGAAAAGATACTGTAAACGTGTCCAGGAAAAACCAGGGTCCCAGGGAAAGCAGTTGTGGATATGGATTCTCCATCGGAATGGCAGGGAGACCAACTGGGGCTGGAAGGGAGACCTTGGAGTTTGGGGTGGGGGGATCTGAACCAGAGCATTCATCCTCGCTGGATTTGCACTTGAATTTCCAAGGGGTTCTCATCTCTCTTTTTTTTTTTTGAGTTAGAGTCTCACTCGGTCGCCCAGACTGGAGTGCAGTGGCCGC